ATTGAGTTATTCATGTTACTTTAAGAACAGATGGATCTATGAAAACATTTATAATTTTACTTTTAAAATGCTAAAATTATATGAACTATGTAAAGTATTTTGTATTAATTGTGTCTCTTGATATTAGATTGTTAGAAGCAACTAATCAGTTATTTTAAATATAAAAAATAATACTAGAAAGATGAGTGTATTATGCTGTAAAAACAAAAACAAGATTATTGTGAAAAAAGATTTGTTTTTGTAATTAATGTTTATATTATTAAAAAAAGAGGGACATTATTAAAAAAGGTGGATATTTTAATAGAAGTTATTTAAACAATTACCTAAGAAGTTGAAATAATTATTATAAGAGTAAAATGCATTTACTAAAGAAATACTAGGAAATAGGAAACAAAGGAACAAAAAATATTTATAGACAATTGCATTAATATAAACATGTTTTTTCAGGTTTTTTTCTTTTTTGGTTATATATTTCCACTTAAAAATTGTATATGAAAATCACATTTCAAAGTTGTAATATAGTATTATGATATAGATAATTATATCCTAAAGTTTTAATCAAGTAATACGTCATGGACAACTTTCTAAATACCAATCTGCTTTTTCAAAACAAATAAATTGCATTTCATAAAATGGAAACATAATTTGACCAATAAATTGAGGGATATTTATATTGCTTAAAAAATTTCATTGTTTTAAGTAATTTTTCCTTAAATATTTTGGTAACTACTCAATGAATCCTTGTTAGGTTGGTTCCTTAGAAACATTTCTAGCAGAATTACTATATTTCAAGGTACACATATTTTGAATTTGATACAAGTTGCCAGATTTCTTTTCAGAAAAATGGTACCAATTTCTACTCTTCAACCATGAAGTAAGTGCCCAACCCATTCTAGCACTGGGCTAACAGTCATATTAACTTTTTAACAGGTGAAAGATATCAGATTGCTGTTTTATTTTTTGATCATTAGCGAGGTTGAACATTTTTTTTTTTTGAGTCACTGGCCATTCGTGTTTATTTTATGAATCATCTCTGTACACTGTTATCTTTTGATTTTTCAGTACTGGAGATTGATTCCAAGACTTCACTATGGTAGGCAAGGGCTGTATCACTGAGCTATAGCCTCACCTCTTTTCAAAGAAATTTATTTTTCAAGGTCTTACTAAGTTATCCATTCTGGCCTTGAATTTGTAATCCTGCTGCCTCAGTCTCCTGAGTAGCTGGGTGTATAGGTGTGTGGCACCATGCCTGGCTCTGTTTTGGTTTCTAAAAAAATGTGGTGTTCCTTTTAAAAGATTGATTTAAAAATACTTGATAGTGGTTAAACTTACTAATTCTTTATCATACATACTGCAAATATGGTTTTAATGATTTTTAAATTTCTTTTAACTTTGCTTGTGGGGTATTTTCGTCAAGCAGAAGTTATCATTTTAAATGTCAAATCTTTAAATATGTTTCTGTATGATTTCTAGAGTTTAGGTCATGTTTAGAATAGTCTCAAGAGAAAAATGTTCTAATTTTACAAATATACCATTAGATAATTTATTTATAAAATTTTTATTTCCTGTGGATTTATTTCTTGTGTGTTATGGTGTGAAGTAGGATAGCTCCCAAGTGGAGAGTTATTATCCCAGTTGTATTTATTTTATAATTCATTCTTTTGTATTTATTTGAATTTATCCTTGAATCTTCTGCTTAGCTCTTCACTATCTATAGATGCTCCTGGATTTTTCTTTTTCCTCAATTATTATGTATATTTACAACTGATTAGAGGAAGATTTTATAAGTTAGTCTCCTATGAGAATTACTCTAGTGTTCATTGCTAACTCAAAACCCAAGACTCACTACAGGTAGAACCCACTCTGTATCCATTACTTCTTGGTCCTCTTTTGTTTCTTCTGTACCACTAGGCTCCATGCCTATTGTTTGCCGGCTCTAACCTGGGAAAATTCTTCAGTATTTTTGACCTCTGGTTCCTGTGACACAGGATGAGAATATCAAGGAATAATAAGAGATTCATCTCAATTGGACATTTGTGTCTGATATATTAGCTGCTATTCTTATTATTAGAATCTTGAGTTTTCCGACAGACTCATTTCCTACCCAACAGTCAAAAAGCACCATTGTGCTTTTTGTGGTCACTCTGTGGACTTTCTTCAGAACACATGGTCAGCAAGATGTGTGGGGTGCCTACCACTCTGTTGCTGCTCTTTATCTTCTGATAGAGACAGCTCTATAATAAGTTTCATCAGCGCTCACTTTCTTGCATACCATATGTTTTAGGATCTTATCATACATCATTATCCCATATAACTTTCTGGAAAATAGAGTTTAGATTCTATATTTTACAGTCCAAAACCAAACTAAAAATCAATCAATCAACCAATCAATTACTCAATCAAAGAAACACCAAGAAGAACAAAAACCAGAGGCTCTGATTGACCTACAGTCAATTTAAAGTTATACATCCAGGAAGAATCCTGGTCAGGATTCTAATTCAGTCTTTTGGTACACTTCTTTAAATAGTGAACTTTTCAATATTTTATCCTCTGGGTGCTTGGCCTTTTGTCTTAGGATAAAAAGTATCTAAATATTTAAAAATTATTTTATCATTTTTATTCTCTTTCATTTGAAACTTGAAAGCAAATTTCAAAGCAGTTATGTGCTGCAGGGCAAGTTGGGTAGCCATACTTTTACTTCTTGGTCATTGTTGTAACAAGTTATTTCCTCTATCATGTATTCTTTAAGGGATTTGCTATACTTCCCATTAACCCCTGAAAAGTCTAAAATGTTATCAGTGTCCTTAACCATTTTCCTTTGAGGAAACATTTGTGACAAGTCAGGCTTTTCCTCATTGGTGAAGAGAAAAGTGGATCTATTTATACAGAAGAATGTTTGAAAGTTTCTCTGACTTTATGTCAACCTTGCTGATGTTCCCTCTTGCTTTATTGTCAGTTTGATATGGACAATTCAACTAAAAGAAATTGCCATAAATAAGAGATAGAGTAATTGCTAAAAAGGTGAAAACCAGTGGTCTTTCCACATTTGGACCAATCCAGGTTTCTAGGCAGTTTTGCATTTTCAGAAAAATCTTCAATACATTTAACCCCTACCTTTTAAAAGTTTTCTTATCTACTGTTCTATTTTTTAGGTATCAGATGTTTACAGTTTTCTTGGCTAAATTCTAGTGTCAAAAAAGTCCACAGATGAACAAATACATTTTCATGCAGAAGTCCAAATTTCTTGAAATCTTTTATTTAGAGTGTCTCTGAATGACATAATATTGCAAAGTTACAAGTCAGTGTTATGGGTGATTGTGACCAAGGTCAGAGAGAGAACACATTGATTTTTTTAGTGGTTGTATGATTATAAGGCCTTTGATGATAAATCTGTACCCACTGAAAATGCAGTTGACTTACCTTGGTGATTTTGATTTATTAGCCTTGCAGTGGACAAGGTTGCCCATTTGTTAGTGCTCTTTTTATATTTGAATAGCTTGGAAGCATATAAATTTGAAGCATAGCTTAAAGTTGTTTTAGGTACTTCATATTTCATAAAAAACATCTGATCAGAGAGCTTCAGTTTTTGATTTTTTATTGTGACACTGTAGCTTTTATTATAGTGGGGATGCCTGATTTGCAGTTTAGAACATCTCTCTTCTTGAGCATGTTTGTGGTTTCAAAGAACTTTTCAGAACTGTACTGAAAACATGAACATTAGTGGGGCACAATCAGCTTCCTTTGGAGAGTAGAGTAAAAGTTCAATGGATTAAAAACAGGATATTGAAGAAATAACAGTTGATAAAATGTACTCTGTTTAGCTTTCCTTTAAACTTTTGTTCAAAATAGATATATGGCCCTAAGAGTCTTGTTAAAAATTATGCTTGATTTTAGTCATAAGAGGACTCATACAGCATTGCTGTGGAATGGCATAAGAAAGGTGAGTCTAGAGTGAGAGCTTAATGAATGTGGTCTTTGAGTATCAAAACATAGGGTAAATTCCCAAGTTAAATTGACTATTTGAGCAGCTGGGTGTCAGCCCAAGCTTTCTTTTCTCCTCTCTTATTGCAACCTGAGGCGAAGCTCAGGTTTTGACACTGTGCAGTATTAGTGTCAGTATTTGACACTGTGTAGTATTAGTCATTGTAGCAGGGTTTCTCAGCCGTTACAGTATTGTCTTTTTGGATCAGATAATTTGTCGAGGGCTGTCCTATGCCTTTTAGGCTGTCCAGCATTATCCCTGGCCTTTATTCCCTACATGCCAATAGTACTACCCCAAATTATGACAAACAAAAATGTCTCCAGGTATTACTAAACATCCTCAGGGGTGGTGGTTTTGTGTTTGTATTGGCAGTAAAAGCATTCCTGCTTGAATACCACTGCCTTGCAGTAGTGTTACAGGAGAGAGGAGTGACCAAGCAAGTGTTTTCTTAAAGACATCATAGTGTGTGTATTAAATAAGGTTCCAATCACAGTACTGAGTCCATTTGTCACCACATTCAGTTAAGCTGAGCTAACTCATCATAACTTTAAACCAGTTGGACATGGCTGCTGTGCTTTTTCAATTTTCTAGAACTGATGTTGTGAACATTTGACAGTTTGGTGTTTCATTTTAGTGTGCCATAGAGAATGATCCAGTTTTTCTGACGTGATTTAATGCTTTCACACATTTACAAATGTTGTTGTTTTAATCATGCTGGGATTGTGACTATGGTTTTACACTGGTATACCATAAATACTATAAGAAATGAAAAATAAGGAATGCTCATCTTTCAGTCATCTTTTATTGCTTCTTTTAAATCTTTAAAAGTAGAGTCATTGTACTGTGAGGCATTTTACTGTGTTCTGATTAGATTGGTCATTTCTCATAAAAGAGCTTAACCCCTACCTGTGTTCCGTTTGGAATAAACAGCTCAATGTACTAGAGACAAGGTGATAATAACAGCTAATTATTGTCTGGTACATCACAATGGAATATTCTCATTCTAGAATTTTTTCTGTGACCAATGAAGACATATATGTGAGAATTAAGAAGCAATCACAAGGTTGGTAGGATCTAGACACTATTTTAATTGTCTGTGACTTATGTGGAATTGGTTTTAAAATTTTGAGACAATGTAAATTTGGATAATTCAAGATTAGAGGAATAAAGAAAGAATACAGGGTGAGATAGTATAAAGCAACTGAGACCATTATGACTTTGGGTTAGTCATTTTATTTCTAGAAGTCTTGTAAACACTAAGGCAAAAAAGTGAAAATTAAGTTCTATTACTTGACCTACATATTATTAAGCCTTTAAAACTTTCCACAAGGCACATGTTTTTCTTATTTAAATTTTTTTAGGATCTGAAACATCTATATTATAAAGTTGTATGCATATATATGCACAATGCTTTTTTGTGGTACAATCTATGAGAATGTTGTCAGCAATTAGCTTTTAGGGTTCTGTGCCTTACAGGAAGGAAAGCAAATGAACTCAGAATTAAAAATGTTAAGGTGGAGATTACTAATATTCTGAGTTGTTCAAATAAATCAAAGCCTCCCTGGTCAGTTGACTAATTTAAGTAGCAATCCATCTTCATGTACTCTGATGAATAAAAATGAATGCTGCCATGTTGCTTGCTTTGGGCTGCTTAAAAATTTTCATTTTAAAAGTTGTAGGACTTTTCCAGGTTAAATACAGTCAGTATTAGCGTTGACATTATGACTGTTGTCGCACAGTTGCTGGTCAGGCGTGGTGGGGCACACCTGTAATCACAGCACTCAGGAAGCTGAGGCAGGAGGATAGTTGCAAGTTCGAGACCAGTCAGGGCTACAGATGGAGCTCAAGGCCAGACTGAACTGCATTGCCTCAAAAAGATAAAAACAAACAAACTAACCCAACATAGACCAATGGTGTTTTAGGAGGTCTCTTACAAAGACAAAATAAAATCATGCAAGATTTAGTGAATAGGATATCCTACTGTTGTTTTCTTCTTGAAATCAACTCCATCAAACATCATGTTGTTTATTTTATTTTTGTCTTTTTGAGACAGGGCCTCGCTATGCAGTTCAGGCTGGCCTTGAGCTCACTTTGCAGCCCAGGCTGGTCTTGAACTCACAGTGATCCTCCTGCTTCAGCCTCTTGAGTGCTGGGATTACAGGTATGCACCACCATGCCCAGCCATGTTGTTTAAATTTAGATTTCAGAAAACTTTTGGATTCAGAAATATTTAATCTTTTTAGATTGGAAATTGAATGTAGCATTAGAAAAATCCTAGATTTTTATCTGTATATGATTCATATTCAAAAGTGTTAATATATAGGATCTTTGTCAGCATTATATATTTTTCAATCTTGATGGTCTCTGTCCTTTGGATAAAATGCTAATGATGAACCCAAGAGAGATCGGAGAGATTATTCAGAGAAATTATTCTTAACTGTTCTTAAGTGAGATGGAATAGAGGTAAATGGTGATTTTCAAATAACTATTCTGGATACTTGCTTCATATTTGCTATTTACTATGAAAAAACTGCCATAGAATTATGAAAACATACTAAAGAAATTATCAGTCTATCTTTTGGAGTGACTAAATTTAAAGACATCACCTTGCCCATTGAAGTAATTGTCCTATAGACTTAATTAAGATAATTAGCTTGATAAAGACTGGATTGTTCTTTCAGCATTGTGAAAACAATTCTGGTAGTAAGAGATAATTTTCTAAGGCTGTTTCCAATGGGGCATGACTAATTATATGTTTTCAAGGGGTGGAAGTTCAGACTTCTAACATGATTTTTTTTTGTTTTGTTTTGTTTTTGTTGTTTTGTTTTTGAGACAGGGTCTTGCTGTGTGGTTCAGGCTGGCCTTAAACTCACTCTGTAGCCCAGGCTGGCTTCAAACTTGTGGCGATCCTCTTGCCTCAGCCTCCCAAGTGCTGGGATTACAGGCTTGAGCCACTATATCTTGGCTTCTAGTATGATTTTTAAAATGGAGCTATCATCATAAATTATCATTTACAATGAAATTATTTGATCAATATCTGATGGAAATTTGCACTTCAGTATTTCTTATTGGAAGGTCTTGCAATGTTAAAACATAGACTGTGTGTCTGAGAACTCTGCGTAGTGTGCATGCTTTATTCTAATGAGTACTAAAAAACCTAGGGCCTAGGATGATCCATTTGATTTTCTGTCAGCTTACTAAGAGAGTTTTGCTTACTTTTAGAAATGTAAAAGAATGCCAGAGATAATTTTCAGTTGCCTTCTTCCATTCAGTCTGCTCCTTCATGAAGTTCTGGATTCTAGCTTATTCCCAGTGAATTCCACATTTCCAGATTTTGAGAGATTTGTAATGAAGCTGTCAGGTTGTGGGTCACAGCAGGTTTTATACTTTATTAGGCTGTGAGAAAATTTGAGTATGTGCTAAGAGTCTGAAATAATAGTTTTGGTACCTGCTTTTTCTTTTGTTCTTTTCCCTTGTTTCCTTTTTCCTTTGTGGGCTAACCAATGAAAGAATTTTTAAACGTATTTTTCATTGGGAGATGGTTCAGTTTCTTTCAGCTCAATATAAAGATGTTTCAATTAAAGACAAGATTCCAGCAATTTAAATGAAGTACAGCAGGAGATGGCATCTAAGTATCCAATCATTTCTCAAATAGCTTTTATATAATCCTCCTTATTTTAGGTTTCTATCTAAATATTCACCTTTAGCCTCCAGTTCTTGATAAACTGGTACTGCTAGTTGCTGAACATTTTGGGGTGGGGAATGATCTATTGTGTAGTTCTTGGCTTTTCCTACTGGCCATTTAAAATGAACTTTCTTGAATCCAGTAATTTAATTACTATTTGTTCACCTGCTTTGCAGCTTTCAAAATTTAATTGCCATTGTTTCTCCTCTTGTTCTTCCCATTCTTGCAAGCTTGTCTTTTTTTTTTTTTAAATGAAATTAATGAGTTTGTTCAATATGCTACATTACTCTGGAGCCCCCTATTCAAAATCAACTTTTGAACAGGAATCTGTTGCTTTCTTTCAGAAGATAAATCTTAAGCTAACAGCACACCAGAATCTGGTGTATAAAGTTTACTTAGCTAAGAAGTGGGATTTAATTTTTGAATTAAAGGGAAAAAATATCAGTTGAGTTTAGAGAGAACAACTAAGATTTTCTTGTGTGTTAATATTCTATGTAGCACCTTCTCATATAAATTTTGAAAATTAAAACAAAATGTAATCTTTTAATGCTGTGAAAAAGTTCACCAAGGGTTAGGTATAGTCTGACATTTCTGCAAACAGAGGGGTCCGAGCTCTGAGATATTAATGTAGTTGACTGAAAAGCAGGGTTAAGTTGTTGACTTTTACAACTATCACAACACAGTAAAATGCTAAAGGCTTTTCGTTATGACCAGAAAGGTACATTTTCATCTGGGGAAGGCAAAATTTATAATTAGCTAGAGCAGAAGATCTGTTTCAATTTATGTCAATCAAACAAAGCAAACAGTAAAGTTCTTTCCCTCTGCATTTTTATACCTGGCATAAGGCAGAAAAAAAAATACATGGTCAGTCAAAGCAAAAAGTTAGTTGTAATTATTTTTAGCTTATTATTATTATTCTTATTTTTTACCAATAATGATATGTAAACATTTTAATTATCAATATTACTCTAAAATATTTAGATGATATGTAGCTACATGTTAAGAGGATATTGTCAATTCTGTTTGAGGAATTGTCACTTTTGATGTGAGTGTGTGGTGTGTGTGTTAGTGTGAGTGTATGTGAGTGTATGTGTGTGTATGATCTAGAAGGCTGAATTGAGACGAGAAGATGAACTTCAGTATGAAGCTTGTAGGGGCTCCTTTCCCATTATATTTTTATTTGCATTTTATGGTATGGGGATATATCATTTATTTCTGGTGTTCATTCCTGTCCTCTAATTAAAAATTTAAAAATGTAATTAATACAAAAAGAGTATCTGTAGGGTCACTTCTATATGACGAAGGATTTGGTGTCTAAGGATGGCTTTTGAAATGTGGCTCAGGTTAAAAGTAGCATTTATATTTCTCGGTTCACCCAGAGGAGTAATAAACCATATTTTGACTTCTGAGGTCTGTTTCAAAGTCAATGCATTCCTTGGAGAGTAGTTTGCTTCTCACTTGCAGAATTGGAAAAGGGCATTTCAATCAATGCTTTATTTTCTAGTTAGCAACGCAGGCTGAGTAGTGGCCACCAACAAGGATAATTTAAGGCAACCTCACAAGGCTCTTCTATCAAAACATGTCTCCTTGATGAAGCCTATATAGTTCTCTTTACTTTACAAATTGTTTGAAATTCTGGTCTCCAGACTTCCCCGCGTGCCTGCCCCGAACCCCAGTTGCCCCGCCCACCCGCAGTGAGCATGGGCACCTTGGGCGCATGCGCAATTGCTCATGCCCAGAACACTGCTGTGCAGGTCAGGAGGTGCTGGTGAGGCAGAGCGCGAGCTGCACGCACAGGCGCAGTAGGGCCACCGGAAATAGCTGCCATGGCCTCCCGGGAGCTATAGAGGTTGAGAGGGTTGTTAGCAAAGGCCAGGAGGGTTTGGGAAGACCAAGTGCCTGGCACAGTGGCATGGTTATGACAGGAAGGACCACCCGTGGGAGCCTGAGTAGCACCAGGTGAAAGGTTAGGTCATCCATGGCTTCAACAGGTGCCACAGGAGAAAGAGGAAAAGAGAGCGCTGACTTGAACCACTGGGACCTTACCCAACAATGCCAAGAAGCAGAATTCCAGGTCCTCCAACAACCGCTTCTCCCAAGGTTCCCCTGAAGTACTAGTGATCAGCCAGGACCGTGAGTCCCAAAACAGTGTGTTGCTGGCAACCAGCCGGAAGTTTAGGAAAAACACAGCCACATCCTGTTCGGAAGGAAGGACACAGACCTTGCAAGGTCAAGTACCAAAATCCTTGGGCCTAAGAGTCCTGTTGAGAGCAGATGGCTTTCCCAGCAAGAGCTCTGATAAACTGGACCCCCTCGAGTGGGGTCCAGGGGACAAGGTGGCATCAGAAGTGACAAGAGCGAAACCAGTGGGAACTTTA